CAATGACAAAGGTCACGGCGGAATATCGATCCGCAGTGGAACAAACACAAGATTGACTGCCGGTGGAAGCACTGAGCTGCACAAATATATCCGTAGAATGTTTGAAAGTGAACTTAGAAAGCTCAATCGGGGCTCGTTGGAAAGGTTGTTTAATTACCTTTCGAGCGATACCACACTATTGACACAGCGAATAAAATTGCACAATTTTGCACGCGTGAGTAAATCCCAAAGCTTCGATGAAAACAGAAAAACGGCTCAATAAAGAGACGTAAACAAAATACTTCCAGTGNAGTGGAATGATATCACAAGATAGAGCTCACAAAACTGGATCGAATGAACGTAGACTCGACGATGTACGACGAGATTTCGCAGAAATATTTCGATTAAACCGGGAGCGCACAACTTGAGCGACCGCACGCCATTCAAGTGTTCCTCACACAATTTTTATCCGGATTAGTTTTCCGGCATCACTTCAGGTGCATAATACTAATGCATGATAAGAAAACAGAGTTTATCAAGATTCACCTGACAGACTTTATCCATACCAATGCAAGGTCAGGTAAACGAAAAATCCGTTCTGTAGAAAGAAAATCAAACCCGTATACTCGAATGACAATTCTTTCCGCAAACTAAATTATTCATGTAGTACAAATTAGACAGACAACCGTTGTACCGATTGTACCATTTTATGTTCCCATTCTATATCAAGCGATCCAACACGCCTGTGATGGATCTTGGCGTGGCCTTTATGACGCCATGGTCGTGTTTCTATTCTATTTTTCATATGATGCAACACAATCCCGTTGTATGCATCTGGTGCAAGACAACGAGATCAATCCGGAGTGCGTTTGTGCCACTTCACTTCGCTCTTTGACCTATTCAATTTCAATTCAGAAAAAAGATTGTTTGAACGTTTTGAAAAAGATGGTACACTGATTGCACCCATTTGAAGTAATTCTCATTTCACCAACAAAGTGAAATAGTTGGAGAAGAACAGGTGAACTCAGAACGAGTATCGCTTGAAACCTCAAAACATACACATACTCTTAGGTTGTTTGTGGATATGACACCTTCAGAATCGAGGTCCCAGGCGTCTTCTTGATGGTTTTTTTTCAGCCGTCTTTTTTCACGGATCCTTCTTGTGTGGCTCATACGGTACTAAAACTGATTTCGCTTACCACACCCAGACGCAAGCTTTGTGTGTCAAAATAGGGAGGACTCCAGTACTGGTAGCAGTGATATAGTCTAGCAGAGGATTGTCAACAGTTAATGAAGGCTTTGTTGCAAATAATATATTTGATACCACAAGGATAAAAGATATCGAACTCTTACATAGTTTTTCAAACAGCATGTAATGTCCCGCGCTAGGTTTTCAACGTTATGTAGTAAATTTCTTCTAAGCCATTCTTAGTCAATGTCTGCATGCACTGTGTTCTACGCACCCGACAGACACCCATCGATTTTATCTGCACGTGTTTTGAGATGGACAAAAAGAGTTTTTTTATCGTGTTTCATTGTTATTGTTATTATTGTTGTTGCGTTGGCACCATGCTTGTCTTCAAGCCGGTGGTATATATATATATCGTGTTTGGCCTCGAGTTTTTTGGTAACCAATCCATATAGTTATGTCTTCAAAAATTGCGGAATATTTTACTGAGTGCAAATGCTTATTTACCCGGTTTCTTCTGTTCCCGTAAAAGTTACTTGACTTATTGATATTTCTATTTATGAGGTTAGTTATGCTAAGGGACTAGGTTCTATTTCAACTCCCAAATCTCAATGAATTCCACGCCAAAAAGGAGAGTGTATTTCAAACCAAAGGTATCGTTCGTAAGAGATGTAGGAAAGTAAATTAATGTTGCACCCGTACAGTTCGTTCTGATTGCTTTTCTTGAACTGTGAGCAAGCTACAATAATATGCATAGGCTAGAAGTCAGCAAATTCATCCAATGGATGAATCGTCCATTTCCTCCACTCATCATTCAACCTTCTCTTCTATTTTCCCTGGCTCTAATTGACTAACAGCTTCCAGAAAGTATGGTCATATTTTGCGACTAGCTAACTAGAAATAGGCCACACCATAGTTATTATTGACGTTATTATCTGATGCATGGATAAGTATTACCAACCAGTGGAAGAGTCACCTCGTACAGGGAGGAAGCGTTTACAATCCGGTGCCAAGTTCAACGAACAAATGAAAACCAAGAATATCTAAACAGCCACTCAGAGCACATTTCAAATAGAACAAGGAGTGGCGAATAATCTCGTTTTCAGTGATTCGTAGTCATACCAAATACATCAAAATAAATATCACATTGTTTATATATGTAGCAGTATTCAAACATGAGAAAAACAGTCAATTGTTTTGGGAAAGGGAAAATAACATCATGGGTTAACCGGGGCTAATTTTTTTGGGACCGGACGTGGGATTCTCAATGATCACATAATTGTTAGATCGTCCGATTGTTGGAACCACTCGGGAGATGGAGTGTATGGGGAGTGGGCCAAGGAAGCTTAAGCGCCTGTACAAATTGTTTTTGGGTACACAGAGTGGGATTGTGCAGCCGAATTCCTACCGCTTCCGCTGTGGCCAGCATACAGACCTGCCTTGATAGTCGACCATGAATCCGATGCAGGGGACGGAATGCCTCGGTTATATTCACAGTGTGATTTGTTTCAACTAGTTATGAAACCACTGCACTAGTGAGTGACCTAATCGTTCCTGTATTAAGCCATATGGGGTGGTATTCACGGATTCGTTCGGACAAACGCCTGACCGTGCGGCTTATGTGCGTTGTTCCACATAAACATGTTAATGAGTACACAAAATGAGACGGCAAAATCCGGCATTTTGTCCTTTAGTCGTAAACACAATTGGCTGGAACGTGAACAAAATAGTGAGTTTTGCTGCATAGAAGGTCTTACTAACAGCATCGGATAGTCTCCTTTGTATTATTTTTTGCTGATGTATCCCTCTTGAACGGCAAAGCAATGTATACCGACTTCTTTCTGGATAGCCATTACAATTAGATCGTCGACAGTATTTTGACAATCAGAATATTTTACGATTTGGTTTTGAACAGTGAACGTGAACATGAATTAGCTAATACTGAATGAAGGTTTTGTATATGTTACCTATGGGATCACACAATATGGTAAATGCCATCACTCCTCTGTTTTTTAAAATCTTATTTAGACGCGCAGCTATTCAACAAGCGGTTTCCGACGCAAAGACCAAGGCGGAGACAATAGCTAGCGCATTCGGACAGCGTGTTCGGGGACTGATCAGTGTGGTCGAAACCGAGACGACGCTAGAACCACAACAAGGTGGACTCAAATCGGCTGCACGTGTTCAATCTCAATCGGTATCCATTCTAGATGGAGCTGCCGATTTCTGGAGTGCCAATCACAGAGCCGCACAACGATGTATCTGTGTGAAACTGGATGCGATTTGTGCCCTCGGCGATTATGTCTAGTGAAACTGAATACCAATCGCCTCTTATTCACTTTTCGATTATTTCCAATTAGCCCATATCGTTAAACATTCTCATTAAATGTGAACCATCGGTTGTTGGTAATGTACGAAATTGCATGTGGTAGCGGTTGATTCCTGGACGTTCAGATAACGGGTCTAAATGAGAATTTGGGCAATTTACTACCGATCGATCTTTGTATGCACGAAATAAATCCAATTGTATCATGTGAAGCTTTCATTTTTATCCGGCAGATCGGTAAATGAATCTTTGTGTTCTCGGGAGGGATGTGTGTGATCAATTTGGAACTGTAGAGTTCGTTGAGATTAGCTCTCAGGCAACAAAAATACACCGAACGGTTTCAATATTTCTTTTAATAATCTTAGAGGTAAAATACTCGGAAGTGTGGTTATTGAATCAGTTTTGCAAAGGTGGATTGATGAAACGTTCACCAGTGGATTAGATTATATTGATAATAAAGCCACAACAGTCAAGTTTTTTCAACCCAGTTCATTCGTGATTCGACGTGGGCGTACTTAATGTATTCCGCGCGGGTCAGACAGTGTGCCTCAGTTTGCTGTTTCCCTTTCGGCCGATGCTGTGGTTGTATCAAGTGAAACTTGAACAGTCGTTGTGTTACTTGGGTAACTGTCATCATATTTGATGGGACAGAGAGAAGACAAATAGTGTGAAACGTTAACACTTTTCATTCTCGCCAGTCGCTACAGCGTCAATTAATCTGATATAGTTCCACAGAGCACTTTTCAAACAAAATAGGAGAGCGGTGAACAACCTCGTTTTCAGAGATTCTTATTATTGCCAATACATCTCGATAAATATATCACCACTTGGGATTAAAGTGCCTTGGGAAAATAAAATAAAATAACAAATTACTAGAAACAATTTCACCATCAGACAGGAAATCGGGTTCACCACGATCACGTATTTGTTTGTCCACTCATCCAATCATCGAGATTACTCGTGATGCAGTGTGTGTGTGTGTGCGGGGGGGGGGGGGGGGTTATACTATCCCAACCGGATAAGCAGACGGGGATCGTGTTGCTAAATACAATGGACTACGTAGACAAGATGAATGCCATATTGCGTGGACGGTCGAAATTCACCGAGTCAACGGAAAAGGATAAGAGGGCCCAAATAGAAGGGCCGCTATCTAAGATTTTGTTTGCTCAAGACAGAGGGGAGTCATTAGTGCATCCATTTTTGAACGTATTAGGCCAAGTGAGACTGTTATTCAGAGGATTGCCAAAAGTACACAAAGGTGGAATATCATGACAACCAATTTTGGATATGTGCAACTCACTGTATCATGCCCTGGAAAAGTCGTTGACCCAATCGTTGGAATCCGTTCGAGTTGGGTTGGCAAAACACAGTATCAAAGATACATTTACATTTGTGAACAAAATTCGTGTAATAAATTTGGTCGATCGAACAATGCTCTCACTGGGCATCGGCTCGTTGTTCCCAAATGTTCCCCTCAGCGAAACGTTTGAATACTTGTGCAGTTATGTACAGACCAGTAGTTTGGAGCTCGGCCTCCCTTTGGATGACCTAAAACAACTGCTTTATTTCTGCGTGTTTAACGTTCAGTTCGAGTTTAACGATAAGATCTATCGAAAAAGGATGGCCTGGCTCCGCTAGGGCCGCTTTCCGTAGACTTATTCATGGCAAAACTTGAAAAGACTCCATCCATCGAAGACTGCACTATACATTCGCTACGTAGATGATATTTATTGTGTGATCAACGTAACATCGAACACAATGGAACCGGTTCGATACTGCGCATCCCAACATTACATTTACTTCAGAAATGGAGTGTAACAACAAATTACCGTTCCCACATGTCTGCATCACCCGTCGATCGGATGGTTCGGTGCAGCGTTCCGTGCATAGAAAGACAACTTGGAAAGACCAATACATTCATTTCCGAAGATTTGTGCCACTTAAAGTAAAGGGGAACCTGGTTCGCTGCCTGGCGGACAGGGCAAGAAAGATCTGCAGCGAGGACGCTTTAGAAGAACAGCTCCGAACTATAAAATCGATCATTGCAGGTAACGCGTATCCGGAGCGTTTAGTCAACAAAATGATTCAGTGCATGGAAAACTCCTAACAAAGCACTGATGTTAAGAGAATAAGTCCGTGTACATTTCTTTGCCGTTCAAAAGAGACACATCAACTGAGATTATACATAGATTACCGACGGAATCGATATGACTTTCTATGCATCCAAGTTTCGTGTTTTGTTCACGTCCGAGCCAATTATGTATTTGTGGCTGAAGGAGAAAGTTTCAGACTCTGCGGTCTCATTCTGTGAATACTCGTTCGTTTGATCCTGTGGAAAAATGTAAATAGGTCGCTCGGTTAGGCGACTGTCCGAATGGATTAGTGAACACCACCCTGTGTGGCTGAACACTGGAACGATTAAGTCACTCACACTGTGAAATTGTATGGGGCTTTCGGCTTCCTGTATAAAGTTCATTGGCGATTATTGAGGCAGGCTCACCGTCGGATACTAGCTACAACAGAAGCGGTAGGCATTCGTCGGCACAACCCCTTTGTGTGCTCCAAAAAGATTTGTGCTAGCACTGAAGCTTCCCTGTCCCACCCACACACACCGTATCACGAGAAATCTCCATGATCGCATGAGTGGACAAACAAAAATGTGATCATGGTGAACCCGATTTCCGGTGTGATGTTGGAATTGTTTCTAGTAACCGGTTATTTTATTTCATTTTCCTAAGACACTTTTTTTCCCAAGTAGTGATATATATATATATATATATATGTAATGGCATGAATACGAATCTCTGAAAACGAGATTGTTCGACACTGTCCCGTCTTGGTTGAAATCTGGTATTTATACAAGAAGCTAATAATTGCAGTGGTCCAACGGAAAAAAGTCAGTGAAGAGAGTAAATCAATTTCAGAATCAGTCCCACGATAACTTGTCTGATTGTATCATAAACTTTTGTGCACAAAAAATTGGACTACATAAATTGATTAATATCGACGTACTGAATGCTTAGAGCACGGGAATCATTTTACGGTATCCAATTGTACAATCGTGGTGATCCACTAGATGATGTTTGCGTTCCGTCCGTTGCGGTGCTGAATGCGATGTGGTTCTCTCCCATTAGATTTCTGATTTAAACAAATTTTGGCCTGACCGTGAAATTGTCCAATGATTAGGAATCAATCACATGGCTTATCGTATTTCCAAATCAGATAATGTGCTTATTTCCTCCCGATGGATGTTAACAGTGACGCATCTGACTCTTCAGTACTCTGATCGATAAGAAATTTTACCGGTTCTGTGAACAAGCTAACCGGGTTTCACTCCATATTTGTGTTTTACCTAATAGTAATCCTTGGTACGAAAGAAAAAAATCACGATTAATTACAAATTTCATCACTGGATTCCAGTGTTTTGAATGAGGGCAGATATGTTCTATGCACAGATAATTGGGTTCTAGTGTGCGGAGAAAGTAGATCCAATATAAAAGCGCAGGTGAATTGTGGTATCACAGACCTCAAAAGAAATGTGTTATTCCAGCGAGGTATCATCCAATTAAACTCGGGATTTCTGATTGAAAAAGAGTAAGCCCTGGGTGAACCCTTAGATATGGATCATCAATAATGAGAGTGAAGCTCTACGGTCCAATACTAACCGAATATATGGTTTTCATAAAATATGAAGTCTAGGAAGGATCATATACAAAGCGAAAACTGGCACGAATCCCCAACATTACTCGCAAGTTACTGGACGTTTACAAGTGTCATCACTTGCTATATCGTCTACTGATCTAACGTATGTGGTTCAGCGTTAACAACAAGGAAAGCATTACTCACTGAACTTAAATCACTGAAGTATACTGCTTTAAATGTGGATCAATAATTCAAGGCGCAAATTCTCATTTGGTTTTGATCAGCATGAGTCAGCCATTTGCTAGCCATGTGTCCCAGTGACCTCAGTTCCACCATTAACCACACCCTATATGACCATACAGTAGGTCCACACGAATTACACACCAACGGTAGGGGTAGATGACTAGGCAGACCGCGTGTAGCAACGGTGACTATATTGTTTGGGTGGAACCAGAAATGGGAAAGCCAGATTGAACCTGTATGCATGCGGAGGAGGACAGAGGTGTGTAGCTTAGTTTTATTCTACAAAGAGGATGGAAAGTAAAAGCAAAATAATAACAGAGTGGTACACTAATCAGTTGAGTAAACAAGCTTATCTGAGAGCGGTTCGTGTGAAGCATTGCAGCCTCAAATGGTAGCTCAGAATCAGACAATTTCGCTTTGTTTTTTCTTCTCGGTTACATACGACAATATGGCCGAATAAAACCCATGGATGAAATAGGAATGCAAGTATTGGTGCAACCGTAAGGTCATTCAGAAACATTTACTGTTTTTTCGTCTCATTGTCCACCCTATGTATCACTCCTTTTGGTCCGGTTGATATTCGTTTCGTTCGGGTTATCGATTTCGTACACAACCCAGTGAGTTCTTAGTTTACCCGGTCTCAGATAATTGCCTGGACGGGTAGACATCGCTCAGTTGGTATGGCTTCAACCACACGAGTTCACTTGTGACCTCGATAGCTTCTTTCTGTTGGTTAACCCACTTACAAGCTATCCTTCTTCTGTACCGCTTCACCGTTTGTTACTTATTGATTATATTATCCACCGCCCCCTGCACTCATGATTTGCTCTGATTGCTGCTCGGGTGTCAAGTCCTCACGCACACACACACACACACACACACACACACATACACACACATCTGCGATTGTTTGATGAGAGATCAAATTATGTGCACTGAACAACTTCGTGTGATTGGCTCATCGTTTACAAGCTTCATGTCACCGTCCAACTAGAATAATCTTGTTTCTTTCTGGTTGATCTGTTCTTTTTTTCTACTTGACACAGCGCTGAGCCGTCCCTTTTTGAAGCACCGTGATTGTAAGTTGCATTTTGACA